TGCAGCAGCAGCACGCCGAGGAGCAGCAGCAACAGCAGCAGAAACAACAGCAGCAGCAGCAGCAGCAGCAACAGCAGCAGCAGCAGCAGCAACAGCAGCAGCAGCAGCTTACTCCTGGAAAGTGCAGCTGTCTCTCTTTTTTTATAAACCTTGACTCGTACGAACTCAGCACATCGCTGCAGCAGCAAAGAGACAGAAAAAATAAACAAATAATAAAAATAATAAAAATAATAAAAATAATAAAAATAAACAAAGCAGAGAAAAATATAAGACGAAATAAACAAACTATAGAAATGATAAAAATAAACAACAAACAAGACAGACAGACAAAAATAAAATAAACGAAGATAAACAAAGACAAACCCTAAACCCTAAACCCTAAACCCTAAACAGCAAGCAACAAACAACAGGAACAAACAAACAAATAAACAAATAATAAACGAATCAACAGAAGAAACAAAACGAAGAACAAATAAAAACAAACAAACAGAAATACCCCTTTAAACGACCGCAACTAAACACGCAAACAAGCTCCCTGTACGCCAAACCCTAAACCCTAAACCCTAAACCCTAAACCCTAAACCCGAAACAATAAAACCCTAAACCCTAAACCCTAAACCCGTAAGTAAGACTTACTGCAGAAAGGTCAGGTTCTTAATGAGGAACAAACTCACCAACAGCGTCACCTAAGAAACACAAACCCTAAACCCTAAACCCTAAACCCTAAACCCTAAGCGATAGAGACTTGAAACCCCAGACTGGCAGCATAAACCCTAAATCACAGTGCGCATTGAGACCGAAGAGAGTGTTATGCGTCTTCTAACAGCTGAGGGTTTAGGGTTTAGGGTTTAGGGTTTGCACCTCAACGTTGTTTGGGGGAGCATCTGCTGCTGGGGGCAGCAGAGACAAACCAGCAGCAGCAATTGCTCGTGCTGCAGAGTCAAGAGAAGAGAGACACGCAGCTAAAACATCGCTGCATGCGGCATCAAAGGGATCTGCTGCTGCTGCTGCTGCTGCTGCTGCTGTTGCTGCTGCTGCTGCTGCTGGGGGAGAGTCTCCGCTTCCGTCCCCAATGCGGCGCTGCTGCAGCAGCAGCACCAAGTGAAGGCACTGCAGCACTGGTGGATATGTTTGCTGCAGCAGCGAATCCCTGCACATATCACGCACAATCTGCTGCTACTGCTGCTGCAGCTGCTGTAGCTGCTGCTGCTGTTCATGCTGCCTTGTGTCTGCTGCTTTAGGGTTTAGGGTTTAGGGTTTAGGGTTTACCGCGTCAGTTGTTGAGGGCCGGGTGTATATCTGCGCATTTCTTCTACAGCAATTTCAACGCGGAAGAAGAGACGCTCTTCAATATCCTACAAACAGCAGCAGCAGCAGCAGCAGCAGCAGCAGCAGCAACACTCACATTGCTGATGCTGTTGCTGCTGATGCTGCTGCTGATGCTTCTGCTGATGCTGCTGCTAATGCGGCGGGTGCATGAAGCCGCAGCGGCAGCAGCAGCAGCACAAGACAGCTGCAGCAGCAGCAACAGCAAGAAACGAAGCAGCAGCAGCGCAGCAGCGGCTACGGCAGCAACTGCAGCAGCAAGACCACCTAACAGTAGCGAGGCAGCAGCAACACAGCAGCGGCTACAGTAGCAACAGCAGCAGCAGTAACAGCAGCAGCAGCTGCCTATACACCCCACCAGAACCAGCTGATCCAACTTGTGCAGCAGCGCAGCAGAGTCTTGTGGGGCGCTTTGCAAGGCTATCATCTCCAGCAGCAGCGTATCCCTTATGTCTCTGCATGCATGCATGCAGCAGCAGCAGCAGCAGCAGCAACAGAAGCAGCAGGTTCGCTGATAATGCCGCATGCCCCTCAAAGCCCAACAGCACTACTGCAGCCGTTGCAGCAGCAGCCGTTGCAGCAGCAGCAATAAAAACAACAGCGGCAGCAGCAACACCAGCAGCAGCAGCAACAACAGCAGCAGTAGCAACAACAACAGCAGCAGCAACAACAGCAGCAGCAGCAGCAGCAGCAGCAACAGCAACAGCAGCAGCAACAGCAGCAGCAGCAGCAGAGCCCCACGAGAGGTCTTGTACGCTGTTGCAAGCCAAGACGGCTGGGCAAAGGGCGTCATATGTTGCTGTTGCTATCCCCTCTTGAATAACTTGCAGCTCCTTCTAAACCACAAACCCTAAACCCTAAACCCTAAACCCTAAACCCTAATAAACCCTAAGCCCTCGGGAGCTCACATCGGGTATACTCAACGCAACACATCTAGCAAGCACTTCTGACCCCTAAACCCTAAACCCTGAACCCTAAAACCCTAACCCCTAACCCGTAAACCCTAAACCCTAAACCCTAAACCCTAAACCCTAAACCCTTACATCGGGTGCATTCGAAGCAACAAACTTTGCAAAGAGTTGTCTCTCTGCTGTGCATGCGCATAAGGCCTGAGCTGCTACTCCTCGCGTTGCTGCTGGGAGACTG